GAATTTTTTTTTTTTTTGAATATTATGCTAGATGTTTGGATTTTGAATTTTTGAATTCGAGTTTTGGATTTTTTTGGATTTGAACTTAAATTTTTGGAGTTTGAGTTTTTGGCTTGATTTTTGACTTATCAAAGCTTATCAAAAATTTTTTTGAAATTTTCGATAGATTTTTTTCTTGAATATTACGTTAAAGGATATCTTAGAAAGTCATTTTTTTTCAGCATTTTTTTAATCGACATGATGAAAATTTGTTCTGTGCATGCATAAAATCGTATTTAGTAACTAAAACACATTTTAGTAGTGATTCAACTTGTGCTATTATTCCGGTTTCGAATCCATGGTACCAGATTGTTGACAGGGGAAGAATCGAAATTTTGAAGTGTCTTTCGGCGTAATGGATTTTTTAACTACTTCTAATGTTGTGAAGAAAAATAAGACTAATATATATGTGTCCTGCTTGGCAACTAAATAAAATTGTGAAATGTGAGTCTCCAGAGCATCAAGAACCCCTCAAATGTAAATTTGAGTTGTATACTTTCTCGGCAGTCCAGTGCCATGAAGCGAAAAGGGAGAGGGGAGAGAGGGGAAAAATAATAAAATAATGGAAAAAGAGAGGAAGAAAGTGTTAAGAAATTAATAAAACTTGAAATGTATTGCAAAATATGGTAAGAAATGTTTCGGTCCATTAATGCAGGTAAGAACCGGGAAAGTCGAAGTGAGGGTAAGAAGGTACCATGGATTTTGTAATTGTGAATCCTTAATAATGCATGTTATAAGCGTCGTTTGTTTAGTGAATCTTTTAAAATCGATTGATGATTTACTGTCTGCATATTTATCCTCATTGTTTTTCAATAAAACCTGTGAAAATTTTTCTTTATTACAAAGCGCTACCCATTTACGATTATTTAAATTTGCATTAAAATCCTCTCATTCCCGTACCTCCCCATGAGGGACACACTTTCAAGTAGCCGGGGTGATGAAGCATTTTGCCACTGGTAAGGCTATCGATGGTTCCCTCTTTCAAGGTTTGCCTCTTTCAAGGTTCTAACATGCCCATCATGGCGTTCTCCAGCCATGCAGCTGGCAAGTTTTCCATTTTGCTTTAATCAGTACTGCAATTTGCCTGATGGTCAGTCTGCCGGCGATTTTGGCATTTCTTTTGTCTCCATGTACTTACTACCTACGAATTGCTTTCGAATGCCTCTGCCTCATTTGGAAAGTAAGTGCGGAAAGGGTTTGAGGAGTAATTTCAAAAACAGTGATATGCGGAGGCATAGATGGGCGCTGGGCGGCTTGCTGAGGGGAGGGCGACGACGGGGAGAATAGGAGGGGAAGGGAAGGTAATAGGGCTCTTAGCAGGAACGACCAAGAGGAGGGAGGGGGAAGGAAATGGGCGTATTGGTTTGAGAACGAGAAGGGAGGGGGACAGTGGGGCTCCTGGGGGCGGGGTAGTGACCGGGGGGTGTGGAAGAAAGTTTTCTTCACATTTAGCATTAACCCGAACTTTCGTAGGGCTTGTGCCGCTAGGGAGAGGGGGGAGGGGGCGAAAGACCCATCGTCCTCTCCCCTCCCCCTCCTGCCCCACCTGAATCTGCCTGTGGTCCAGAGGGGGGTAAATGAGGTAAATTTAGCTGGCACAGTGAGTAGGAGATACTGTCGTGTCAAAAGTCCAAATCTCCTTCACTCCCTACCGTAACTGTCTATGAAAAGTGGAAGCACTCAGAAATAGCCCGTGACTGGTAGCAAATGCCGACAGCAACTATCCGTGGACAAATCTGTCGATGGCTCTCTCTTTCTCTGGTGAGCATTATAACTCTAGCGAAGAGCACCGAGTATCTGTAACTACAGTACACAGAATGATATCTCAAAACAACTAACGATAATCCTCCGGGGGTGGTATATCACCGTGGATGGCTTGCTTATAAAGTCCGTACAACTGCAGCTTCTCGGCCTGTGTCGGTTCACCATCGAGACGTCGCATTTCCTCGGCTGCTATATCAAAATTCATTCCCCACCATTTCTGCAGTAAAGTAAACGTTACTTCCGGTCCTGTGAACTCCCGGAACATTTACACCAAAATTACACGGTAAACGCTAAAATTCTAATCTTGCGAACTCCCGAAATCCGCTCCAAAAATTGCACAGAAAACGCTAGCTGTGATCTTGTGAACTGTGGGAACTCTCTCCCCAAGGTTATGTCAAACTTGATTTTAAATTGGCTAAGTCCCACATGGGCTGGGAGTATACTCATAAAATTTCGGCTTTCTAGCTTCTCCGATTGCTGAGTTGAAAGTGGGTGAAAAAATCAGTGACAAAATCTGAACACAGTTACAGATATACGGACACGCAGGCACACACACATCAGCAAATTTTTGTCAACATACGTTTCTGCATTACATCAAATATGCAAAAATGCTCAAAAATGAAGGGTACCTTTTTGAGCTCACGAAGTGGCATTTTGGGAAGTAAAACAGAATGAGGGATGGTAGGCAACTGGATATTTGCCGTCTATTTTATTAGAGATTTTGTCAGACAAATTGAAGCTAATTTGGAGAACGAGAAGGATGGGCTTTCTCCTTATTTTGCTGTAAAAATAGTCACCAGGATTATCAAAATTATGGATCTTAAGTTTTTTTCTCCTCCTCTTCATCCCCACCTCTTCCCTTCATCCCTTCCCCTCCTCCATTCTTGCCGATTATCAGGGTCATGGGTTTTGAGTCCTTTTCGCCTCCTTCTTTATCCCCTCCCCTGTCCCCGTCTGCCCTCAGATCTAGCCTACTAAAATGAACTCGCATAAAAATAACAGATATGCTTTTTTTATTCCCTTTTGAACTACAGTATTATAACATTCAGACTATAGTATCTTCCACCTTAGCTACAGAATCCGTCCTCATTTCCCTCACTTCCA